AACAAAATGTAAATCAGTTACGATCTACGCCTAGTTTAAGTCAGTTACCCGTACCACTAAAGAGATATGTTCTGGTGCCCAGGGTAGATTATGTTTACAGGATATAAACATATGTAGAGTTGTGTTCAAAATAATAGCAGTCAGACATCACTAACCTGATCAATCACTGTTTTTGGTAGAAATTATATTTCTACATGGCAAATAATTTACTAGCAGGTGTAGTAGAGTAATAGAAATCCAACAGACCCAACATGCTTTAAATGCTTTAAAATGGCAACCAAAACCTGAAAGATGTGGAAGAAAGCGAAAAACTACCATTCGAATGGATAGAAGAATAGCCAAAATGGCAAGGACTCAGCCAACAATTAGCTCCAGGAAGATCAAAGAAGGTCTAAAGTTACCTGTGAGTACTGTTACAATTAGAAGACGCCTATGTGAAGCCAAGCTATCTGCAAGAAGACCCCGCAAAGTCCCACTGTTGAAAAAAAGACATGTGCTGAAGAGGTTACAATTTGCCAAAGAGCACATTGACTGGCCTAAAGAGAAATGGCGCAACATTTTGTGAACTGATGGGTTTTGTGAACATTTTGGGTCTAGTGGCCGGAGACAGTTTGTCAGACGACCCCCAAACACTGAATTCAAGCCACAGTACACTGTGAAGACAGTGAAGCATGGTTGTGCAAGCATCATGATATGGGGATGTTTCTCATACTACGGTGTTGGGCCTATTTATCGCATACCAGGGATCATGGATCAGTTTGAATACATAAGAATACTTGAAGAGGTCATGCTCCCTTATGCTGAAGAGGAAATGTCCTTGAAATGGGTGTTCCAACAAGACAACGACCCCAAACACACCAGTAAACATGCAACATCTTGGTTCCAGACCAACAAGATTGACATTATGGAGTGGCCAGCCCAATCCCCGGATCTTAATCCAATAGAAAACTTGTGGAATGACATCAAAAATGCAGTTTCTGAGGCAAAACCAAGAAATAGAGAAGAACTGTGGAATGTAGTCCAATCATCCTGGGCTGGAATACCTGTTCACAGGTGCCAGAAGTTGGTTGACTCCATGCAACACAGATGTACAGCAGTTCTCAGAAACAGTGTTTATACAACTAAATATTCATTAAGTGATTCAAAAGAAAGCAAAATCTTCAAACATTTTTCAGTTTATATAGTGAATGTTTGAGTTTGTAAAGAAGAATACAAACACTGCTATTTTTTTGATTTTTTTTAGAGGAACAACACAAATTTGATCTATTTTTCTTCATGTTTTGATTTGGAATAGAATGTGTAGTGTTCCCAATGCATTTGTGTGTATGGAAATAAAAGCTATTAGAAGGATTTTGATCTTTATTCACTTTTTTCAACACACTGCTATTATTTTGAACACAACTGTATGTCATTATCACAGGAAAATAAAAATCTTCTTGGAACTTAATCCTATATACCAATGACAAACATTTCCTTTTGTGGCTGAAGAAATTCCTGTTCTCTTTACTGCTTTTCGATTCACTGGCTAAGCTTTTTAGAGACAGCTGTGATAAAGCTAAGAGGAATTCCATCCTATTCCCTGGAAAAAGTGCTCCGAGGTGGACTGACACTCGTTTCAAATAACAACATAAGTCTAATTATAAGAGGATGAAATTGATATTTCACTATTTTGAGTGGGATGAAAAGATTCCACAGTATTCTGTTTCAAATGTAGCTCTACAGTATATAACTGCTAAGACCCATTCTTTACTGATGTATGCAAGAAGATACCTTATAAGTAGAATGACGTGTACTTTGTGTACAAGTAGGACTCGGAGTATTGTACGTTTTAGGTATAGAGGGATTTTTGATGATCTTTTTGCAGGTCCTTGCAAACTGTGCTCAGCAGATTTTCTTGCTATTCTAAAAATCACAACCAAATCACTAAAACATTTGACATCCCTATCAATGTCTCCTACTAAGGAATGGTTTGCAGAACTGGAAAATGTAGTGAGCAAAAATATCAAATGTCAGCATTACATGGTTTGCATACATTTGGAAATTTAGGTAAATCTAAAGCAGAACATCAGGAATGGAAAAGCATGCCGGCTATCAGTTAACTGTAATGATGTGTAAGTCACCTCCACAATCGCTGCCTATTTATTACCATTTTAATTTTCATTCATGTTGGGAAGTATAGCTACATCTTCGTTGATGTGAAAGGAGAACTCCAGCTCTCCTACGCACAAGCCACACTGCTGTTTGTCCGCCGCTCCTCTCCCCTTGCTCTACCACAGAACTCTTTGTATTGGAATGGGATCAGAGACTACAAAGTGTTCTGTGAATGGACAAGAGGAGAAGAGAGGCTGGCGGAGCAGGAGAGCCGCAGCTCTCTTGTCATAGTATCCAAAGTCAAGCTATAGCTATACTTCCTGACATGAATAAAGAACAGGGAGCAATTGTGAAAGGTCACATGCACTTCGGTACAGTTAACTGTTTGTTACCCAGCACATTAAAAAAATCTTGGAGTTCCTATTTAAAAAACAATGAAAGGATATTATGATTTGGGCCAATTTAATTTAAAGTGTTACTAAACCCACAACAGTAAAATCAGCCTGTATATGCAGTAAAGCAAGCTTGTCATACTCACTGTAGAACCTAAGGGGTTAATCCTCTGCAATGTGTAAAAAGGAAGTTTGATCCTCTTTTCTCTGCCTCTCCTATTGTTTAAATGTCCATGTCTTATCCTGATAAGACAGACTGAACCGTAGCCATTCTGCACATGCTCAGTTTGGTGTGTATTGCTAGAGAGTTTTTTTTCTTGGTATAATTCTAACTTCCTTGGTAAAATTTTAACTGATTGCTTGTGTTTTGAGTGATAATCCAGTAATAATTATGAAAATGTTACTAACCCTACAACAGTAAAATCAGTCTGTATATGCAGTAAAGCATGCTTGTTATACTCAATGTGGAACCTAAGGGGTTAAATCTCTGCGCTGTGTAAAAAGGCCATTTAATCCTGTTTTCCTCTTGTTCAAATGTCCTCCTGATAAGAGCGACGGAACCTGTAGCCACATGCACATGCTAAGTTTAGAGTGTATTGCTAGAGAGGTTTTTTTTGTTACTTGGGAGAGTGCATGTGATCAGCACGGGGCCAATCAGCACTGTCCAGACAGAGGTCAGAGGTTTTGCATCCTCCTAGAGGAAAACCCATCCTACAAGCTTTAACCAGTGTTCTGCTAAAGTCACAAGACTGCTCTAACTGCTGATGAGAAAAGGTATTTAGCAGTTTATATTTGCTAAAATAATTGCATTTCCATGTTGTGTGTACTGTGGGAGACCAGATAGAGAGAATGCAGGGTCCGGAGTTTAGTAAGACTTTAATATTTTTTTTAACATTCATATGTTTTTACATTTTTTTTTCATGATTTATCTGTATCACTATAGGTTTTCTAAAGAGATTGCACGGTCTTTCACTTATGTATATACATTTTTAGCTATTGCACTCTGTTAACAATAAGCTTTTTAAGTAAGGAGGAATTTGAAAACATGTTAAAAGAAGCCTAAAGCTCTACATTCAAACTATTAAGGAAGGTTTGAATCTGATTAGTGGCTGTATGAAACTTTCTTTAGGTCAGAGGCAAATAAAAGGATGTTTCACTATTACAAAAAGGTGCAATCTGCAGAACTATAATACCAAAAAAGAAAAGGAGTCGTCTTGTGCAATGCCATAATGACAATGTATACTACTCAGGTAAGCTATAATCCGTGGACACAAAATTTCCATTTTGATAAATGTGTACCATTATGTTTGCCCATAGGCTTTTATTTTAACTGTACTTCTCTTGTACCCTTTTCTAAGCAGGTTGTTTATTGTGAAATATGGATGTAACACCACTTTTACCATTACAATTTGTTTTATTAATGGCAGGGCAGGACTGGAAATAAAAATGGCTTCTAGTATTGAAAATGAACCAGCACATTTGACTAAACTTTGTCAAATCTCATGGAGGAATATTGTGTTTTTGTTTTAGCACTCATGCTAAGGATAGGGCACTGCTAGAGTTTTTGAAGGGCATGGGGAACCCTTGGGCACCACTGTATTTCAATAGGGAGTGCTTCAAAGATGCATTCTGGGGAAAACTCACAACTATCCTTACAGTGGCCTTCTCCCTGCAATACATGGGGTTGAATGCTTCTTTTTGTCTAAGGTACCATTTAAAAGCAATTTTACTTACTCTGTCCCTCATTCCTGCTTACTTCCTCCTCACCATGTGACCAGTCCCGCAAAGCTTCACGCTCTGTTGGTCACAGGAACTCAAATGCTCAGCTTTATAAATCTTTGTTATGGGCAACAACTGTACATTTGTCCTAATATTATTTTGGTTTAAATTAAAGTGGTTCTAAAGGCTCAAGTTTTTTTTCCTTCATGCATTCTGTGCATGAAGGTAAAAAACCTTCTGTGTGCAGCATCCCCCCCAGCACCCCCTAATACTCACCTAAGCCCCCTCTCAAACCAGCGATGTGCATTGGAGTCTCGGCTCTCCTGAACTCCTTCTTCTCATTGACTGAGACAGAATTGGGAGCCTATGGCTCCCACTAATGTCAATCACAGTCAGTGAGCAAATGAAAAGAGAGAGGGGGTGTGGCAGAGCCATGGCCCCATGTGTGAATGGACACACAGAGCAGCAAGTGCCCCCAAAGCAAGCTGCTTGCTGTGGGGGCATCCGACAGGATGGAGGGGACAGGAGAGCCTGTGACGGATCTGAGGAGAGGAGGATCCAGGCTGCTCTGTGTAAAACCACTGCACACAGCAGGTAAGTATAGACATGTTTGTTATTTTTTCTAAAATAAAAAATAAACCTTTAGAATCACTTTAACCTCCCTAACGGTATTCCCGAGTGTAGCTCGGGGGTAAAATGTCTGTACCAAAAGCGGTAACCCCGAGCTACACTCGGGCTTACCATGCGGCGCTGCATAGGGAGTCCCTGCAGCACTTACCTTTGTCCTTCGCTCCCGCGATGTGTCCCCTGCAGCATCCCCGGCCATCTCCTCTGGCTGATGCCGGCATCCGGCTCCTGTGTTCCGGTCCCTGTGACGTCGGGATGTACGGGCGGCGGCTGCGGCGGCGGGAAATTTGAAAATTTAAAAAAAAATTCATTTTTTTCAAAACGATTTTACATAGTAAAACATTGCTGTTTCAACCCATTTCACATACATTTTGTCCCTAGTGCTTTGTCCTGTCCCCTGTCTGCATTTTGAATGTTCTTTCTGCCTGGAAACTTAGAAAAGTCCACGGCGTCCAAAAAGTGTCCCTTTAGGTCAAAAGCGGGTTTAGATCAGCTAGAGAACAGCGATAGTAAATCAGAACCACCTGCAGAATTGAGTGATAATGATTCGTGGGGAAATTCGTCATCAGACACTGAAAACAATTTTGCGACTTTGCTCAGCAATGTGCAAACTTGGCGCTATATTTCAAATTTCAGTGTTTTTGGTTTGATTATATTATTGAATTAAATGTAATATTATTATATTATTATTTTTTATGATTATTTATTAAAATATAATTTATGATTTTGTGTTTCAAATTTTATCATACCCGGGATGTTTAATAGACTCTTGTTCGGACAGATTTCAGTGAGTTATTCCTAAATATTACAGCCTACAATAAAAAAAACTACATATTTCCATGCAGAATAATGGTACCGCTTTCAGCGCCAAAAATCTGAAATAATCATACCGCTAGGGAGGTTAACCACCCCTGTAGTAACTATTAGAGCAGATCTCTATAGCTCTCAGAGGTTTTCTTATGATGGATTTAATGAAATTTAATAGGGTCAGTGTTTTGGGATTGTTTTGAATTTTTTTTGTTGTTGTTTTTGTCATGCATAGATTTTACTTTCTTGTACAGGTCAGTGGGAATGCAATATTGTAAAGCATGCTGCATTTGACTTGCTTTTGAGTCTTAAAGAGGTTGTAAAGCTTATTTTTTTAAAATAACATACATGTTATACTTACCTGCTCTGTGGGATCCCTTGTCAGCGATCTTGGTTTCTCCTCTTCTCTGTGAGCCACCATAGGAAGCTGCTTCCCAAGCCGGGCTGTGTGCATCTATAGCAGTGTTTCTCAACCTTTTTTCATTTAGGCACCCTTTAAAATTCTGCACAATCTCGAGGCACCCTTTAAAATGCTGCACAATCTCGAGGCACCCTTTAAAATTCCGCACAATCTGGAGGCACCCTTTAAAATGCTGCACAATCTCGAGGTACCCGTTAAAATTCTGCACAATCTCAAGGGACCCTTTAAAATGCTGCACAATCTTGAGGCACCCTTTAAAATGCTGCACAATCTCGAGGCACCCTTTAAAATTCTGCACAATCTTCCTAGATTGTAAGCTCGAAAGAGCAGGGCCCTCGATCCCCTCATGTTTTGCATTGTATTGTATTGTTATTGTTCTGTCCCCCATTGTAATGTACAGCGCTGAGCGGAGAGTGACAGGGAAGGGAGAAGGAAGGATGCTGTGCAGGTGCCCGATGTCTTTTTTTATTAACTGATGACATCATTGGTTGTTATTTTGCCAGCGTCTAGAAAGTTGAAATGGTGCACAATGAAAACCTGTTGTTTTGTGTAATTAAAGGCAGGCTTGATCCACCTACTGGCTTATATACAATTTTTGGGCAATTTTAAGGCATTTTGTCAAGCACCCCTGAAGAAACCTGTAGGTAGGCAACCCTGCGTCTAGAGACTCAGCTCAGTCCTGCTCCCCCCCCCCCCCCGGCTCTCAGGATTTTATTGACAGCAGCAGCCAATGGCTCCCACTAATGCATCTCTGTCCTTTGAATGCAGAGAGAGATGAGACAGCTGTTATAGACAGGCACAGCGCTGGATCAAGTGAGGACTCGGGTAAGTATTTAGGGCTGGATAGAGGGCGATACAAACTTTGGGACATTTTTTACCTTAGTGCAGGGATTGCATTAAGGCAGGCATGCTCAACCCATGGCCGAGCCATCTGATGTGATGCACAGCCTCAACCCACACAGTCTCCTTTGGGTGCATGCCACTCTACTGAATGTTTGCCAGTTCTCCATAATCCCAACAGCTGTCATACACAAACTGATTTTGCGGTTCAAGATGTTGAGCACCCCTGCATTAGGGTAAAAAATGTTTATATACAGTATTTATTTGAATGAATAAGTAAATATATATATATTTTTGTATACATCCATTGTTTATGTATCAGTTTTCTCTTGAAATGCACAATATCACACACATATACCAAATGAAACAGGTTACCTTTGTTCAATCACTTTCATGCTAGCCCTGCCACATGTCTGAGTAATTTCACTGGTCTGTCACAAAGAGCTCTTTTCCGTGAAAAGAAATATCTAACAGTTGCCTCATAAAATGATCCAATATCTTTCAAGATGCCCTATGGAATTTCATTTATTCTGAAATAAGGGAAAAAGCTAATCACTTTATTTTTTATCGTTTCCAGATCTTCTCTTAACATTTCCACTTATTCTTTAACTTGGCTATGAGCATGATTTTTTTTAAACATTCCAATATGCTTTCTTTGGCCATATTACAGACCAAGGAGTTTCTAATAAGAGATGGCATACTATATATACTAATAGTATACTTTCCTATTAAGTGATATTCTAATAAGGAAACATAGTATTTCCTTATTAGAAGTGATGTCACAAAAAAGATGCTATTTTACCCACTGAGTGGATCAACTGTGAACTTCGATTTTTTTTTAGCATGTGTTTTTGAAGGTTATTAAAGCCCAACTCCAGGCAGCAAAAAAAAATACCTTTGGAGTGCCCCCCTCCACGCACTGCAAGGGGTAAATTCTTGTTTAGTCTAGGGGTAGAGAAATAAGCAGTGATACTCTTGCAGACTTCCTCCCAGGTGCATGATGGTCCCCTGAAGCTGCTTCCATTGGTTGCTCCTCCAGTCCCAGCATTTGCGATGTCCGTGTTTGTGAGGTCAGCAAAGGCTGTCCCACATCCTGGGATGGTAAAGAGCATAGAAGAGTGCATACTGCTGGGGGAACAAAGAATAAAATAAGTATTACTGATTGTTTCAATCCCCCATGACAAAAAGAGCCCTGAACCGTTGCAGTGTGGGGTTGGGGTCACAGCATGGGTAAATGTTACACTAACCTAGAGTTCAGTTTAAATTTTTTTTTTGGGGGGGAAAAGTAAACTTATGTAGAAAAAAGGGTCCTTATTTAAAGAGGAGCCTAACCCTTTTTACTGCAGGTGGGGATAAGAGGAACAAATTATATAATTCTCGCCTAAGCAAGAAATGAGGAAGTGGAACTTGCTCCCCATAACAAAAAAAGACATTCAAAAGTGTTAAAGGATAAGTTCACCTTTGTTAGAAAATATAATAAATGCACTTTTTTTGCAGGTAAAAAAAAGTGCATTTATTATTTTTGTCTGCAGGAGCCTGTAAATCTTTGCACCAGCGATCAGCAGATCAGGTGTACAATCGTATGTATCCAAGGGACACAGAGATCACAGAGCGCACCCGATGCGTGCCCCAGGGGGCATGCAGGAGGTGTGTTCTGAGAGGATGTTCATGGATACCCATCCAGAACAAGAGGACCACGCTGTAATTGTCTTTCGGCTGTAGCACGGTACTAAAGTGGCTAATTGCCGATTATCCTCCTCCCCACCCCTGCCTCTAAAACATTTGAATGCCTTTTCTTACAGGGAGCAGGTTACACATCCAATCACAGCAGCCCTTTACCATGTGAACAGCTGTGTCCAGTCATAGCTGATCACATGTAAACAGACTTGCGGGTTATCTGCAGTATTTTCCTTACGCGCTGTGTCTGTGTGAGGAAAGGGCAGTCGATACCTGGCAAGACTGTCAGTACTTTATTTATACTGATAATCAGGGCAATGATCATCAGTGCAGCCCCATCAGTGCAACTTATCAGTGCCCATAAGACGCTGCCTATCATTGTGCATCAGTGCCCTCCCATCATTCCAGTCTCATCATTGTCTCCTCATCAGTGTCCATATGTGCAGCCTCATCAATGCAACCTCATCAATGCCCATCAGTGCAGCCTATCAGTGCCCATCAGTGCAGCCTCATCAGCGCACATCATGAAGAAGAAAAATTGCTTATTTACAAAATTTTATAACAGAAAAACTTTTTTTTTTTTATTTGTGTAGCAAAAAAAAAAAAAAAAACAGTGGTGATCAAATACTACCAAAAGGAATCTCTATTTGTCTAAAAAAGAAATGAAAAAATGTTATATGGGTACAGAGTTGCATGACCCCGCGATTGTCATTCAAAGTGCGACAGCACTGAAAACTGAAAATTGGTCTAGGCAGGAAGGAGGTGAAAGTGTCCATCTTACCTTTTAATGGAAAGACAATTAAAAAATAAGATATAGTGAAAAAAAAAAATATTTTTCTAAAGGTTTTGGGTTCTTTGGATCAAATAGGGGCATCAACACTATCTAGAAGAAGTGCTTATCTTGTGCACAGAAAAATTTTAATATTACATTTATGCTGAAAACAACGCTTATGTGTGTGATACCCCTCTGGTGTTTCCCCATTAGTATCCTCACTTATTGGATCTTTTTAACCACCAATTAATAGGTATGGTTAAATGCACTTGTTAATATTAATCCACACAGTTCATTTTAAAAGACTCATTTGCCCTCCAGCTTTTCACCTAGGAATCAAGTCTTAGATGAAGTTAAGATAAGATTATACCTATGCTTAAAACTATAATACACACAAAAAAACTCACACATTTTTTTTTCTTTTCTATGTGTAGCACCCTCTAGTGTCCACAGTTAGATAAATTTAGTTAAGCTCACAGAGTAGCTGAATTAAGCATGTCTGTGGGGCTCAAGCTCAGGTCAGGCTGGAAGGCTCCACAGAATGGTCCTCTGCCACCTACCCCTGGTTCTGGAAGTCTCCAGAACCTTCTAGAAGTGAGTGGGCGGAGGTACGGAGGCAGGGATCTGAATATTCATTGGGGTTTGACCAATCCCCTGGCAGGAGGCCTTGCAGGGTGGTAAGATCTGCACATAAATATTGAAGAGCCTGGCCAGCAGAGGTTTGCTGCTGATTGGAGGATGGAGTGTTGAGTTGAGGTTTGTGAGGCCTGGAGGGGACCTTGCAAGTGGGGGTTCTGTTTCCAGGCAGGAGCTGAGGAAGGATGGAAAGAAGCCATTTGATCAGAGGGATCTTCAAAACCCTTCAGTCTCATCCAGGAGACACCCTGTATTGCAAGGGAAGGATGGGAAGGGAAGGACCGAGCAGCAGGATTTAAAGGGACAGTGTGTGTACCTCTATGTTCACCACTCACAACCTATAGGGGGGAGGCAGCCAGGTGCAATACCCAGCTAGCCATCTA